GGATAACCTCTTTCTCAGATAAAAAAAGACATGAGAACCCAACAGCATGATGAAAATAACATATATTATCTATCATAAATAAAATGTTTTGTTTCAGTCATGATAGATTGACATAAAAATGTATTATGTTTGAATGACACCAATATTTTTTTGAGTTGGGGTCCTTCCTATAACTGAGTACACATAATCTGATCTTGTGCTTGTTTACTAGAACAGGAGATGGTTTGTAGGGCAGACTGAACATGATATTTGGGACCAGAAGGTCACAGATTTGTTTTGCTGACCAGCACTGTTTGACTCCACAATTCACGGCTGAATTTCCCTTGAGGAAGATGAGTAATCCTTCAATAGCCTCACAGGCACTGTACACCATGGTGGGTAGGCAAAAATAAAGGAGACAAGTTGAAGTTTATTAACAAAGCAAGGGTCCAAATAAGGTAATTAGTTAGAGAGCCAAAATTTACAGGTATTAGCAAAGGAAAAATCAAATGGGTGAGATTTAGTTCAAAAAGAATAACAAATGATAACAAGGAAAAACAAACCAAATGACATCAATGGGAACTGGAATATACGTATGTCAACCTTGAGAAAATGAAATAGGTTTGACAATTGAATGAAAGAAGATGAGGTTTCATGTTGCTTCTGCCATGTGTGTTGGTGGATACATTTGAATACTGAATTTGAAAACGTTAGCAGCTGTTTTTTTTATGATTACCAAGACAAAACCTTTTATTCAGTGGAACAAGATATGCAACACTGTTTTATTCATTCAGTTCAAAAACTGACAAAACCACTGCGGAGTGGAACATCAGCAGAACACAGCAAACTTCTCAGAAACTCAACTCAATTATCACAATTTCCAAATGTGTTTTCAGTAGGAAATGATGCTACCTGTAAACTGAGCACCGAACCAGAGGTTTAGGCAACTGCAGTTGCATGGCCATGGAKAATTTTGGTGTGGAAACAGGTGGAATAAGGCACCCGACTGTAAACTGTGATGGTCACAGTCTCAATCTTATGGTCACTCTAACGGCAGTAACTTCATAAAAGATTAAAACACTAACATAGTTCATTGTTTTAGGATGTGTCTTTCATTTTTTTGTTCAAATTTCCTTCAAAATTACCAAATTACTACCAAAATACTGCAGTAGAAGTAGCTGCTCCTTAACTGATTTTCAGTCACAGAAGATCCATATGCTTGACATACCGAACATCACAATTATCTCCTAGTCACAATAGCTCGGCTCTGTCAGTGGCCTGTGGGACAGACAGAAAACAGACGAGAGAAACGAGTGTGGCTGCTGGGGAAACATGATTCAACTGTGTCCCAATGCTGAGAGATGGAGATGAAAAGAAGATGCAATGCAATATTCTCTTTGGTATTAATTCAGTGTCTCTTCTCCAAGAGCATCTAATTTAGTGCTGCTTGCCTTCCTTACTGGATCAACAAAACCTCTCACTCTCTGCCTCTCTCTCTCTGTCTTCATCTATCTCCTTTAGTAGCTTTTCTTCTCCTATTCTATGACACCCTCTCCTCCTGCCTAACAACCTCCACCTCCCTACTGTCTTTCATTCTCTCCTCCTGTACCTCAGGCTTTTGTTACACTGTCTTTTGGCCGACTGCAGAGAGAATGAGAGAGGCCCTGAAGACAGCCTGAGCCAGCTGATTGAGAAGGAGAGCACATGAAAGGAGTAAGCATATATATATATATGTGTGTGTGTGTGTGTGTGTGTGTGTGTGTGTGTGTGTGTGTGTGTGTGTGTGT